CACAATAAATTTATTACACGTATAAAGTCAAAATATACACCAATTTCCAAACATTTGATATTTTAATATTTAATATTTCCATTAGTGACCACTATAAAATAAGCTTTATCAAAAAGTCTGTTATCGTTTTAAGGAACACTTACCATCAGAGTAGCACACGTTATAGTAAAACATTTACTAAAGTATTGTTTTAATTTTTTACAGCACTGGATTGATATTGCTGCTTGTGGACTCTTAGTCCCAGAGGGTATCAACAGCTCAGTAGTCAGCATTTCGGTACTGATATGATTTATAACAAACCTTTCTCAAATTGCCCGTTTAAAACATTCTTTAGAAACTAAGGTTTCAACTCCTTTAGGCACAATTGACTGGAGACGGATATGGTTGTCATTTTAGGTCCTATTTGCAAATTGGTCATATAGCTCTCCAGCGGTTCCGGTTCTTTTACATCCTTGGCTTTCAAATATTTGGCTTTGAGCGTTCCTAATGAAGGTAAAAACAGAAAGCTCTTCGGACGCATGAAACACTGTGCAAATGATAAAATATTGTCTTCATTAATTTAATCTAATCGGATAATGTAAGATTTTTATATAAGTCAACGAGATGGTTCTACAGCAACTTTTATTAAATTGTTGATAATTGTTCATATACAATATGTTTGTCATTTAATAAATTTCACAAAGTAACATTTTACAATTTTACCATAACTGTACGTTGCATAGATCATTATTATGCAAAAAAAAAAAAAAAACCGTTTAAAACAAGGCTGCAAAATAAAAATTATTTAATATAACAGACTATGCATTTTGAATATAATTATACATTTGTTAGTTGTGATGTAGTTACCATTCTATGCCCCCACAAAATCAATGAAGTTTTGTTCTTATTTTAATCAAATTCGAATCTCTTGTTTTTATTTCATAAGAAATGTGTACTAGTATTTCTTTATAAGTGAAAGCATACGTCTTTACATGTAAGCTGATAATTTTGTTTTCATCAAAGAAATTCAGATATTTGTTAAAGCTGTTATGATAAGCGTCACACAATACACGATATCCTCCACAAACTGAAAGGGTAAAAGTCCATCTTAACATTTTTAAATTTAACATTTTTCTTCTTAGTAACGTCTTAAATCATCGATTTTGTTTGCAAAGATTTAAATATGAATAAACGAGATACGGGTTGATTGTGCTGAAATCCTAAAATCAGTGATGCTTCACTATAACGATATTGTCAAAAGAAACGAATTACTATATTACTAGTTGTGGTATTGCAAAAAAATGGGATAAACATATTTAAGTTATACTTTCCTCGTGAAAAATAAAAGATGAAATATCTCTGTAAACCGAAGCATCTTAACATCTTGACCAAAGCATATTTGAAAAAGATATGTAATTGTATATATTAAATAAAAAGAAAACTATACTGATTAATCCTAGCAGTCGACGATTAGCTGAAGCACTTTCTGTGTATTTCTGTGTTCTATTATGGTTATCGCAAAACTGTTAAATATCACATGAGACAATATACTCTACAAAAATGTAAGAAAGTCTTAACAAAAATTTGAATTTGAGAGCAACCATTTGATTCTCTGGGGTGAGGCAAGGATTTGTACCTTTTTTGTTTACCCAGAACAGAAATTGTTTTTTTCATGGCCAATCACAAACACAGTTATTTTTTTCAGCATATATATTAAAACATTTATATTACACATCATTTTAACTTGAATTTATACATATTTACTTTATTTGGTACATGTATATAACAAACCAAGCCTGACCAAGTCAGTTTATATAGTGTTTCTCGCCTGACTATTTAAAAGGAGTGGAGAGCTTTGGCCATCATTTGTCATCTTTGATAGATCAGGTTGACAAGCTGTCTATACAAAGGTATTGGCCAATGGCATGAAGACATCTCCAAAATTCAATGCACAAAAAGATATCCGAAGCTTACCAAATGGTCTTCAACTAAGCAGAAACTACCCACCAACAGACAATCAGCTCTGGATGGCTCCAAACACAATAAAAACAATCAAATCCAAGTAAACATGAAAATGTGAAAATATCTAATTAAAATAAAGAGGTTCAACAAGACACATCAATATCAAACTTATAATTTTAGTCTACTATAAATATGATCTATTAAAGGGACTGGTAATTTTCTATCACTGGGGGGACCTGGGAGGAATCATTTGAAATTTCATTTATTTTTTCAAGTCTCCACCTTGGAATATAAATTCAAGATATGAAAATTTCTATTTATATTATTATTGATGAATAAAATATTGCATCACAAGTGGACCAAGAGCTTCAAGTGGGGGAAGTTGTTTGTGACTTCAGGTAACTTTATTTGGATATGCCTGTTATGGTCACCTTGGTATTTACCACACCTTCATTTAATTTCAGCACATTGTTCATACGTCTTTTATGTTAGATTCGTGTGTTATGGTAAAGATAATTAATCACCCCCTTCATTTATATTAGATTTTGGTTTGGTTCAACGAAATTTATACGATATATTTGGTTTACAGTTTGATTCAGAAGAAACACCGACATAGCTAGATAATACAATTAATTATCTAATTACTACCACAATTTGATATTAAAAGTATTGTAATTTTCATTGTATTAATAAATGTAATGTCAGTATTACAGATCTAATCTTGAATCAATCCTAATTCTATCTTATTTTTGGGAAATATTTTTACAAATTCAAATGTGACGTCACTTTGTGTGTTTTTTTAGAATTTCAAATGTGACGTCACTTTGTGCGTTGAGGCTTTGGCTAACTCGGCTGTGTATTTTTATGTGTTGGATTAAGTTGTTTTATGTATAATGTATCCGTTTTTATTCTGTAGTTAGTCCCCACTTCGGTTTTATCATGTATATCTATTATATAGTTATTTTATAAAATTTACTGTTTGCAAAAGTATATATTATTCTAAATAATAAGGATGTTCTGGTCCCAGGCAGAAAACCCTGGCCGTGTTGGGCGCAACTTTTTGGAAGTTTTGGTCCTCGGTGCTCTTCAGCTTTGTACTTGTTTGGCTTTCAAACTTTTTTCATCTGAGCGTCACTGGTTAGTCTTGTGTGGACGAGACGCACGTCTGGTGTATTAAATTCTAAACCTAGTACCTTTTGTTAGCTATTATTCGTGTGTTTCTTTGTCCTTTATGTTCTCCCATTTATTTGTATTGTAGTCATGGCATGTAATGTTGTCATTTTAATGTTATATTTAACATTGCCATAAAAGCGGAAAGTTTGACATGCCACAAAACCAGGTTCAACCCACCATTTTTTTTCTTAAAATGTCCTGTACCAAGTCAGGAAAATGGCCATTGTTATATTATAGTTCGTTTCTGTGTGTGTGTTACATTGAAATGTTGTGTTTTTGTTGTGTCGTTGTTCTCCTCTTATATTTGATGCGTTTCCCTCAGTTTTAGTTTGTAACCCGGATTTGTTTTTATTACTATCGATTTATGAGTTTCGAACAGCGGTATACTACTGTTGCCTTTATTCATATCCTTTATTAAAGAAGTTGGTAAATTAACATCAGATATATCTTGAATGGACGCGTTCAAACTATGATTTGAATGATAACAATTAAGCCGAGCGTACCGAAGCGAAAGAAATTGACGTCTTTCGTGCCAAAAAATATTTTGTTTGCTTTTCACAATATATTTTTTCATCAAACTTTTTCAATTTTTGCACAGCTATTAATTTCTCACTATATGGTATCAATGTTTCTAATTCAATTTACTGGTGACAGAAAATATAATTTCTATCTTTCTTTTCCTATCTCACGAGTTTGAATATCTTTGAGTTTATAGGTGCCCGAAAAGATTAAAGTCTGTTGGAATGACAACTTATCAAAAGTAAATTTTTACTTCCCACTTCCTTCATAAGCTGATCACAAGTTCATTGTAAATACTTTGTGGTAATAGTTACTGAAAACAGTTTATTTGAAAATTTAAAAAAGCATGACCATCATGTGGAAATCCCCATTTCTTTATAACAGTTTGATTCTCGGAAACATAAAATCGATTAGTTATATTAACTTAACATATGCACGTTTAAAGTGTTTTGATAGAAACAAAACTGTTAATATTTTGTCTATATTAACACACGATTAACTGACTCAGATAATATCTTTACAATTAGGACAAAGGTAGGATAAAAAAAACAATAAATGTGTCAGCTACATTTATTTAGAAATTAATACAGGTCAGATTCTGTATGGACGTTGGTACACAACTAATCTTCCTTATAAGTGTTTCACGTATTTTATGAGCGTTTCAGCTTCCGTCTAAAAGATAACATGCTTTAAAAGTAAAGATTTTTAAGGTAAGAGATTGCATTTAACAAAGTATAATTCAAAACCTCTAGATAAGCGAAAGATATTTTCATGGTGATATGAACATATTCTCTAATATTTTCTTAAGTATCTTATTTTCAGACTGTTACATTTGCAAACATAAATTGTTAGACAAGGAGGAAAACGCATATCTTATCTTTAATAACAATTGAATCCACAACAGTTGATGTTGGTTCAAAAACTAAAAAAAACTTTATAAAGTTAATGCGTCCGAAGCTCTTTTCTGCATCAATTTCGTTCTGTATATTTCATAAAATTGAAGCATACTTAATTAAAATGCGTTGGTTGATTTAATTGATATCAGGAAAGTACACTTTTTTTTTAGAAAATTTTAACCCTAAATTATTAAATGATAGGCAGGTGATACAAAAAGAAATCAGAACAGAAATAAAAACCCAGCTAAATTGTATGTTGACAAAAATATGTGTCTTGGTTATTTGTTTTGTTGATGTACTGGCTCATAGGCTCTTCTTGGCATATGCGTTAATCCACACACTGTATTTTTTTGTACGGAAATGTTATAGGGATCTGAGTAAATTTTACCTGAACTATTTTTCAAATAGTTTCATTTAGAAATTAAACAACAAAACATTAATGAATAATGAAATGACTGTTTTTCTATCTAGATGTTGTGTTTCTACAACCTTCAACAAACAATTGATAACGGTCTTGGTGGCTTATTCGAAAGGCATGGTAAATTCATTGCACGACACCCTTGGAAGACGGTTATCCTTGTTTGTATTATTGATATTGCTTTTGGTATTGGAATCTTGAAGTTGAAACCAGAATCTGGTATTCATCAGTATGTTCCAACGGATAGTACTGCAAGTAAAGATCAAACTATAGTAAGTATAAGTATAATATGCAGACAGAATGACCTTTTACACAGCCCTGATCAGATCACAAAGATGTTAATAGCCTATTTTTTCTTAATATTAACAATTGTTGCATAAACAGAATTCTTTTTTAGCGACACTGTTTCATAATTATTAATTCTAGAGTTGTATTTTTGGTTGATATATCCGAGATCAAAATTATATCTCATGAAAATATGAAAAAATAAATAAATTACAGCTAAATAATATGTGTGCACAGTACATTAACTGAAGATGTCATAATAATTTATATATTCAAAAGCACGTATTTATATTAACTGCCCAGCTTAAAATGGCGTCCTGTAACATGGGGATGAAATTTAATGTAACACCAACATAAAAACTTCCCCGACGACAATTTATGGGAAAAACAGACTGATATGTCTTGTTTTTATTTAAAAGAAGATGTGTAAATGACTTTTCTTGTGCAGTAGCTTTCAAAAATAATTATTTAGACTATATGTCAAAGAAATAAAACAATATTTATTATCAAATGACAAATTCAAAACAATTGTTTAATAAATCTGAATTTAACAAAATTGTAATCATAAGTATTTGCACGAAGTCATTGAATATAAAACATACATAAGTAAATTAATTTGGCTACATTACATCTCCTTATTCAATATTTTTAGGTGCGTTTATATTTTAGGATTTCATTCCTGTTGAAAATATTATTGTTTCTTATATATATAATATCATCAAGCTTGTAATTGTTTGATAATCATCTCCAACTACAGTTGCAGCTTGCAATTTATTTTTGGTCAATCTAGTGATTCAAAGCCCTGGAAAAAAGTATAAAAAGTACAAAAATACCAAACCCCAAGGTAAATTCAAGGTGAAGTCCATTAAACCTGACAAAATCAAACGTTAGACTTTATCAAACAACGGATCGAAAATGATAATGTGACCCAAAAAAAATATTTATTTTTAAGCTGTTATAGGGTGCGAAATTTTAAAATTGAAAAAAAGTTATATTAAACAAATGTTCGTAAAAGTGAAACACAATATTAGTTTCATAAATGTATCATACATGAATGTCCAGTATCGGCATTCTATCAGAATGTTTTATGTAGACAATCTTACTTCAATATAACATATATTCTGCTTTATCGTATTTTATTTTAGGTAAACAGTTTGTTTAAGATCAACACAAGTGTGAACTTCTACATACAAAGTTTATCTGATTTGGGTCAATATGGAGAAGTAATAATTGAATTGAAAAATGGAGGTAGCATAATGAATTTTTCGCACTGGAATCTTCTTAAAGACTTGTACGCATATGTCAACAACACATTAATAGAAGATACTTCAGGAACAAAATATTTTTATCCCGATTTATGCGCGCAAACAGGCGGTCAGTGTGTTATTGGAGGTAGTTTCTTCTTCAATAACACATTTATTTTAGATATGAATAATAGTAAAATACAGTACCCTAGCTACAATATATCAACAGGACAAACCCTTTTCTTAGATCAATTTATCGGAGATGTGAAAACTCAAGGTGGTTTTATATCTCATGCATCAGCTATTAAATTTAGGTTTAATCTTCAAGGAGAATCATTTGATCTGTCGCGAAAATGGGAAGAAAAATTTGTCGAAAGAATGTCATCATTTACAAATAGTGATATAACGGTCAAATATTCCTATTCTAATAGTTTAAGTGCAGAATTAAGCAAAAATGTAACTGGTGATATCTCAGTGTTTTCAGTAACTTTTTCCCTAATGATCGTTTTTGCGTGTTTTGCTCTGATGGGAACTAACTGTGTTGATAACCGATACTACTTAGGTTTGGCTGGAGTTTTATCAACATGTTTGGCAATTCTGGCGGCATTTGGTCTTGTGAGTGCTTGTGGAGCAGAGTTTGTAGACATTGTTGGAATAATGCCATTTTTAATATTAGGTAGGTTCAAGTAGGAAAATTAAGCAATATGTGTAATATTAATTCAAATGTGTTTTTATCTGTAAGTTTGTGCTAGCAACAATAAGGCAAACCCTGATCAGTTAAATTGTAATTTTAAACAGATGGGTTGTGCTGTTCTAAAGCCGTACTACAATTGTTTACTTTTTATACATTGTGACTTGGAAGGAGAGTTGTCTCATTGGTTCTCATACCATATCTTCTTATTTATATGTGCTGTTTTTAAACATTTCATATTTGTGATAAAATGCATTTACACTCATCATGATCTTTCAGTAAAGAGTTTATATGTAACTGATGCATGATCAATTCTTATAACTAAATATTTTCCATTTTGATAACATGAACTACAAAAACTCAGACATTTTTATTACCGAAAAAATTGTGACAGATTAGGTTTCGGAAAATTATAAAACTCTTGCTTAAAATTTGAAAGTTTTATTTGAGTGCAGAATCTTCTGAAATCGCTCTCATAAATGTTCATTGTTCAGCATTTGGTAAAATTTCAGAATTTGATGTATTAATATGCTTATAAGACTTTAAAGCAAAAACAAAAAATAGCTATCGTTGTGTTGCTGTCTCTTTTGTGTATACCTTAACCCGCCACACGTCTCCTATTATGCATATTCAATTGATTTAAGATGAATAAGTACTTATTGTACATAAAAAGCATCAGAACAAAGATCTATTTACACAAAGCAGTATCCAACAAACAAACTGTTAGGGTGAATATTTTGTAGGAATTGGCGTTGACGATATGTTTATTCTGCTATCTTGTTTGGCTGACACAAACTGTAAGGATAGTATAGAAAACCGTATTGGCACAACGTTGAAACATGGCGGAACAGCAATCACTATTACATCTCTAACGGACATCATTGCGTTTTGTGCAGGAGCAGCATCAGTGTTCCCAAGTGTGCGAAATTTTTCCTGGTATACTGGTAAATATTAGTTATTTCATGTTCGATATGATTTACAAAACACTTAATATGTTTGAAAAGTAGACACATTGGTCAAGTAAATATGTAATTTCCTTTTTTTTCATTCCTTATTTGTTTAAAACATTTTTTCTTTTTTCAGGGTGTGCTGTGCTATTTTGTTACATAAACTATATGACATTATACATTGGCATAATGACAATCAACGAAAATCGTGTTTCAAAAAAACTGCATTGGTTTACATGCTGCAAGACTGAATCACGAGAGTCCCTGAAGGCAGATGGTAAATCGAAGACATTTATATGGTTTTGTGGTGGTGCACCGCGAACAACAAGAGAGGAAGTAGAAGGTCCTATTGAAAAATACCCAAAAAAAATTATAAAAAAAATTATTTTTAATACGCCAGCAAAAGTGATAATCATAGTTTTATTTCTAGCATACTTAGGAGTCTCGTCATGGGGAGCAAGAAATTTTCGTGAAGACCTTGATCTCAGGAATTTAGTTTCTAAAGATTCCTACCATTATAAATTTTACGATACAAACATAAGACATTTCAGCCAGAGCTTCTTTGTGTCCTTCAATATTAGATCAGAAACTGATTATAGACTTGAATCAAATGTTTTTAATATCATTTCCTTATTGAAAAAGGCTAGAGATGATAAAGACATTGTCGATAACTTTCGGCTGTCCTGGTTAGATTCGTATATGAAATCTTCAGATTTTAATGATACGACGCATTCAGATTTCATTCTGGGACTCCAGAAGTTTTTAAAAACTAACTCTGGCAATATGTTCGTCAATGATGTACTGATTGAAGGATCTTCAATTACTGCATCCCGATTTCATGTTCTTAGTAACAGTCTAACTGAGTCAAGTAACCAAGCTTCCCTAATGATTCGTTTACGAGATTTAACAAATTCATCACCTTTGCCAGTTTTTGTTTTTTCACCAACTTTTATCTTTTTTGAGCAGTATGTACAAATTGTTCCTCAGACAATACAGACTTTGGCTATAGCGGTATCCGTTGTGTTTTTAGTAACTGCAGTATTTATGCCTTTGCCTGTTTTAATAATTTTGGTGACGATATCTGTTTCTATGATCATGGTAGGAGTTATTGGTCTAATGGAAATATGGGGTTTGACTTTAAGTTCTGTGACAATGATCCATATTGTCATGTGTGTAGGATTTTCGGTCGATTTCAGTGCCCATATTTGCCATGCATATGCACATTGTCCAGGAGAAGACAGACATTTTAGAGTTTCTACTGCTATGGATATGGCTGGAGGTCCTATATTAAATGGGGCACTTTCCTCATTAATTGGTATAGTTGTTCTTGCTTTTTCGAAATCATACATTTTCTTTTCGTTTTTCAAAGTAATGTTTATTGTTCTGGTTGCAGGTGCCATGCATGCTATATTTCTTCTACCTGTACTGCTTTGTTTGATAGGCCCCATTTATGGCCCACCAGTGACTAATCCAGAAATTAACAGAGTTGTTGAACCAACTGGTCACAAAACACAAGTGGACAGAAAAAAATCTGGCAAGGAAAGTAATGATACTGAAAATGATAAGTATAATGATCTTATGAGCTATAAAATGAACTCAATACCAAGGTTATCAGCAGCAAATATTAGAGAATTAACGTGAACCGGGTCGTTTTTAATTAAAGAGTGACCAGTAGCGTACATAATCCGAATGACAAAAACATTTTAATGATCAGTTTTTTGATAGTAGTTAAGGAACTCGTTAATAGCACTGAAACTCTAGCAGTAGATCACTTACTAGAGGCCGAGATGAAACGATATATTACGGGGTTTTTTTTTGGTGCAGTTTAGGTAACCAGTACATAGTGGGGACCTTCAAATGTTCAGAAAAGGCCTTAAGCTGAGCTGTGGTTGTGACATGTTTTTTACTATATGACTCTCTATAAAGCGTACGGCCTTGAATGTAGTTGAATGTATATTTTCATTCTTAAGGACTTCCGTGTAGTATTTACGTAATACCACCACTATATTTTTGGCTGCTTTGTCGACCGGTACGAACACAAAACGCTTTGCAAGTACTTGAATTTTGTTTTTAATCCTAGAAATGGGCGTATTACTTATTCTTTTATTTATTTCTAAATTATTTTTGAAATATGATATGCGACTATCAACAATATTGAGACATTCATTCAAATAGGAGTCAAGTGACTTTTGTCAGATTTCTCCAGTTTACATCATTTTTTACAAAAGGGTGAAAGAGCATCATTAATAACCTGACGACACTCTTCCCAATTTATTTTCGACGGCAGACGATATTTTGGTCCTTTTTTCAGAAAGTTTATAACGTCTTGAACAATATTGAGGTCCCCTGTAATTACATGGCCATATGGATCATATCTAAACTTTGATGTTTCACGGTCTTATGTCGAAGGAGCATTATTTTCTATACTGGCGTCTGATGTAACTGACGTATAATTAAAAATTACACTTCAACTGGTTTTTTTTATACGAATTAGGATTTACAGGTGGCTCTATGTTCTCAAAATATGGAGGTATAAAGTTTTGAACGGTAGAGTCAGGAAAAATACTAGACAAATTACTAAAATCAATACCTCTATTAACATATTATTTTTTTAACGAAATACTTTTTATGATCTTCAGGTTTGTCAATTTGAGGGAACAGTCTATGGTGACAAAAGGCTGAAATAGTTCGTGTACACTCATATCTTGGACTGAAAAACGATACTGTATCACACTCGTTATAAATATTATTTAATTTACTAATTGGTACTTGACGCAGTTTGAATAATAATTGATGTCTACCATTCTTTTTAAATATAGATAAAAAATAATCAAGTGTAAAATTAGAACGATATTTATTTCGTTGATTGCAATGAGACCTATGATTGCGTTGTCTTTTATCAACAATAGTCATAATATCAACAGAGGAAGTTTTAGATATGACCCATGATATTGTCATTTAGACATAGGGGATACGCAAGTTTATCAAGCATATCGTGTAAGTCACACTTCCTAGCACTGTGGACTATAGAGCACCAAAACACTCTTTAATCGAATTAAGCTAAAGGTTGGAAAAGTTTGTACTCTAGTCGACTTATTGCCTTTGGTAGCAGTTCGTTGAGGTCGTACACATTCAGACGTCCCAGAAGTCACAACAAACGTTTACTCCAAAAAGACTAATAGCCGATGAGTCGGACAGACAATTTTGTCCAACCGGCCATAAGTCCAACAAAACTATGTTTTTTAATAGTACAGAAGTAGTATATCTGGAATGCAATTCAACAATAACATGATATTTTTACATTGAATTACATGCTATAATGTGTTAAATCCGTAAGGCATGTTGATTTTCATTTACATATATTCATAAAATTATATTTATATATCTCGTTTACATTTTATATTTTCAAACCTTGTCATCTGTCGTACACACTTTTAACCTTTTTATCATGTCTACCGTGACTTCGCGTACATTATAATCCACTGTAAACAATTTAGTATGATATACTGTGACTCCATGTTTAATAAATGCAAAATAATTCAAAAATCGTCATAAATATTTTGCACATGACTTTGAGACATAATGTGCAGTTTGTGTTTTTTGTCGTGCATGTACTGATTTTGTGTCTTGGATTGCTACTCATAGCTTTTCTTTTCTATTATTTTGCACAACAATGGTATCGTTAGATTCATTCAGTTCTTGGGAGTTCTTTTGGCTCTTTTTGATGAATAAATACATAGGCACATTTAATAAGCATGAGGACAATTAACCCAATGCCTAAATTAGGAAAAGTGACAAGACCAATTGATTTTTGAACCCTCTGAACTACTCTTTGAATGCCCCGTTGGTGGCCAACTGCAAGAAAAAATTCGGACCAAATTAACTTGCAGAGTCAGTCTAAATTGATTGAACCTTATCCGATGGGTGCCATATGTGGAGCAGATCTGCTTTCCCTTACCGGAGGACATGAGATCATCCCCGGTTTTTGGTGGGGTTCGTGTTGCTCAGTCTGTATACTGTTGTTTGTCTTTTGGTCGTTTTTCATTTTTTGCAATGACTTTGTTAGTCTGTTTTTGACTTATGAGTTTGAATATTCCTTTAGTATCGTTCGTCTCTCTTTTACTCTCGTCCTGAATATACATTAAAATATTTGTCATCGCACGTAAAGCCAAAAATACAGTCAATCAAATAATTATTTTGAAAACGAACAAATTAACCACTAACCTAAACAGACGATACTTTTGTAGGTGACCATCTTTTTTATACCATAATCATTAATATTTAAAATAAAAACAGGACTGTTAGTTGGACATACACTGCCAATCACACTTTCGCCATCTTGTTTATTATAATTGACAGATCAATATTAATTTTACTTGTTTTAAAAAAGCTAAATAAATCAAAACGAAACGTTTCGAATATGCTGAAATCTAAACGCTTTTCTTGATATAGCTTTATCTAAGAAAAAGGAAATGAATGAGTCGCCTCATGGGGGTTTCCAAGTAATTACATAATCACAATTTTTTTGCCAATATAATCACATAATCATTTATTATTTTTTTAAACAAGATGATCAAATAATCAAAAATACAGTCCTAGATTATCAAATAATCAAATAATCATGAAATATTTGGTCTGGTAATCAAATAATCACTATAAAAAAGGCCAAGTAATCACATAATCACATGAGGACGCTCATGAATATAGAAAGATATTCAATGGAAATCTTAAAAGGTCTTGAAATATACAAAAAATTTTCTGAAATTTGTTTTGAAATCCTTTTGCGCAGTTATACATGTTATAGTCAAGTTACAAAACGTGTTCATTTCAAACTAAATCAGAGTATGACATCCATTGAAACTATTGAAATAAAGTGTCGAAACCGTTCGTGTTAGTAACAAAGGATGACCATCAGTGGTCTTCGTTACATTTTGTGAATGTACGATGACAAAATATTATTAGATGTGAGGACAATGTCATTTTGGCATAATTTTTGTTCAAGAATCAGACAAATCGTTTATAAGCCTGGTATCTTTGATGAGTTTTTTTATATCCATATTCAATCGTCATACATTAAAAAAAATCTATTAAGAACAATGCAGAGTATTTCTATGTTTTACTGAAAAGGTATATTACCTACGTCAGGATCACAAAAACTCTTTACAGTTTATTGAAATGTATAATAACCCATGGATAAGAAACCGATTGAATAACAGATGTGAAAAAAAAACATTGAAGAGTAACATTTCTAAATGTTTGCTAGGTCGATAATTATTTGTCATTCAAATTTCTTACTGAAAACCTAAATCGAGCCAAACTTACAAACGTTGTGAATATTTTTAGATGCTTATATTCAAGTTCTGCAAAAATAAACAGGTTGAAATAAAAAGCAGAAAAATGATAACATAGGTAACAACTGCGAAGTTTTTGACTTTGGTCATCAACATTAAGATTATTTAACAGATAATCATTTTTGTAAAAATATTCTCCTTTATTTTTTACCTGGACAGACATAACTTTTAAATTGTTACAAAAACAATAAACTGACCAGAATGTTCTAAAAGTTAGTTGTGGGAAATTAATTGACTTTCGGAAATTAAACCATGCAAATAAAAATGTGGAGCACACTCTAAATTAGAGAATGAAAAGACCTTTAGATTTTGTAGGTACATGATTTTTACAATTATATATAAAAATAAGGAGATGTGGTATGCTTGCCAATGGGAAAACTATCCACCAAAGTTCAAATGGAATTGATGTAAGCAATTATACCGTACGGCCTTCGACAATGAGAACAAACCAATACCGTATAGTCGGCTATAAAAGGCTCCGACATAAAAAATATGAAACAATTCAATTGAGAAAACTAACGGCCTAATTTATAACAAAAAAATTTACGAAAAACAAATATGACAGACAAGAACCAACGACAACCACTGAACTACAGGCTCCTGACTTAGGACAGGCACATATAGAATGTGGAGGGGTTAAACTAGAAATAAGAAGATATGGTATGAGTGTCAATGAGACAACTCTCTATCAAAGTCACAATGTGTAAAAAGTAAACAATTATAGGTCAAAGTACGGCCTTCAACACGGAGCAACTAGTTTGCTTGCGCCAAACCCTCCCCATAACCTGGGACAGTGGTGTAACAATACAACATAAGAACAGACCATAAAAATCAGTTGAAAAGAGCTTAACTCATCAGATCGATACAAAGCAGAAAACATCTAACGAAAACAGACCGGACGTGGCAGCGTATCTATACATCCCAGAAAAGACACCAAGTAAAGATCTGAGAGTACTCGCAGTTACTGACAGCTAGATCAAAGCAAATAACAACTAATAAAAAAATATGTATCTGACTAAAATATCAATCAGTACACATCCAACATCCAATGGATTTGGTGTAAAGACGTCATTAACAGCTGTCAGAGAGAAATATGACCTTGGGCAATGCCAAAATATAAGTATCGACAGATTGTAGTACTGTGAATGTGTATAACAATAATATTTAGTATGGTTTTAACTTACTAATAAAAAAATAAATATTTATATCAATAAAAGCAATCAAAGGTCCAACCGCAGTGCTGAACCGACAACCCCTTAGAATAAGTTTACCCAAAGGATCAACAAGTTT